TCCTTCGTCTCTCCTCCCACCTTTCATCTGTGTATGTGTGTACGGGATCTGGGTATCGTCTATGAATGACCCAGACCCCACCATCTCATGATTGTATGTGTGTGGAGTGATGCCATGTAAGTCAGTTGGTGTGAGTCGGTCTATGTGAGTCAGTTCGTTATCAGACTTCCGCTGCATAAATGCTCATCCTATATTGGTTGATCTTTGGTTCTGCCCATACTCATTGAAGTATGTAACACCAGATCTCTCTACCAGGTCTCATGCCCTCGTACAGCTCGAGTTACAGGGCAACGCGACCAAGCCCCAGCACCGACCAGCGTCGTTCTGGCCTCGTCTATTCGCAAGCCACCGGGACTCAGGACTAAGGCAAATACCAGTCAAGCCACCAATCAGCACCATAGCAGTAGATCTCATCATTCATCTCCTTCATACACTGGTTGCAGATATCCCCCAAAAAACACCCCTGAGCCCTACTCCGGCAAGTCTTACCACGATGAAGCCACCATCTCTGTTTTCTAGAAAACTTAGGAATGTAAAAAATAAAAATAAAAAAAGCAGCTGGAAGGCCGGTCCAGCGTCCCTTACACAGATGATTACTCACGCAACGCTTCTCGATGTTATGGTCGAGAGATCCTGAGACAGCGGCATTGGTTGCTACTCAATTGGGAGGATTTACCACTGCTGCACCCCTGTTTTTTTTTTCCAAGTTTAAGGAATCTGATGATCATGACAGCATTGATTGCTTCTTTTTGGAGGGATTGACGGACACGTCCTAACTTCGCTTCTGCTCCTTCTACTCTATCCCCTTTATCTGGCCTCTGTTATTTCAATAAAGTTCTCTCTGTCTATATAGAGAAGTGTATTGTTCTTCTGGGCCTTTCCTCTCAGTTCTCTGTGTCGATTATCATCTTGGGTATTTAAAATTATTTGCGCAGAAAAACCTTTTCTAAGTGGGTGTATAGTTTTTGATTTTGTCTCTCCTCCTTATTAGTCAGACTATTTCTTCTACTCTCCCCACTGGAACCATTCTAGGGGGACCTTCATGTGCGTTTAATGGCATATGGGCTACACAACCTTCAACCCCGTTCCCCCAGCCTGTCATGGTAACAAGCCGTCCTCGATCCCCGGGAAGGTTGCGTCGGAGTGCCGTAGGCTCAACAGAAGCGTGAGTAGAGAGGTTGGACCAGCAAAAGGGGAAAAGTGGAGAAAAAAAGAAGGGGAAAGGGACTCAAGAGAGGGGAAAGGAACTCACAATGTGCTTAACAACCGGTAGTGTATGTTTTCCTGGCTTTGGCGGCACCTTCGGAAATGGTATGAACGGAACAATAGCCCCATCAACATCCTGTGTTTGCACTTGCAAAGAAACTGGCACACATCTCCATCATTGGCACCAAGCAAGAAGCACACAGGGGGAAAGAGAAGTCCTTTTCAATCAATATGATATTGAAAAAAGAGCCAACTACACCTGTAGCCACACATGAGTTCTGAATAGGCAAAACCAAAAACACTTTCTGGCAGGTCACTCACGCCTCCAAAGTTCGAAAAGGCGATAAAAGAGCCACATCAAAACATCGAGCGTGGCAGACAGGGATAAGAGCCCATGCATGTAGTAGGGTCCCCAGAGATTGATGGATCCGGTCTTATTCGTGTGGAGCGGCACATGTTGGGAACCGGGTCCAGCACCCCTTTGTTACAGCACTGTTTATCACGATTACCCCTTTATCCAGACAACATTTACTCATCCCTGATCTGACAGCATACTACTTTCTTCCACTTGACATCTTACCGCCGTCTTCACCCGAATAGAACGCCCGGTCATTATAGCTGTATTTGGCACAACTTCCAGTCTAAATACAGCGATAATGACTGGGCGTTCTATTCGGGTGAAGACAGTAGGCCTGTGGAACCCATCCCATTGCCAAATGCAGGTTCCGAAGACCCTCAGCAGAGCTCTTTCTCCTAGGGGTGTAGTTGTTGGTCTGCCGCCTTGTGGTTGTGTTCCTGTTGCCCAAACCCAGTGCCGCCTGCGCTTCATTCCTCCCCTGGCCCCTGCAACGGGGGACCCGCTGCCACTCCTTTGGTGTTGAGTTCCTTATGTGGCCGATCCAGCCTGTTCTCCCTCCTGGGCCCTGACCCAGGAGGGCTGTCATCTTCCTCGGGCCGCTGCACCTGTTGCCATGTCAGGCCTCTCCATTCAATGATCACCCAGCATCGTCCTGATGGTTGTTGGGCTGATTATCTTGGCTGGCCGTGCCTCCCAAGGATACGGGGACTGAGGTAGCAGGGGGCTTGACAGTGATGGAGTCGAGGGGAGGGGGGGGGTTGAGGGGGACCAGGGGGAGGGGAGAGGGGAGCTGATGGGGGRGGGGGTGTTGGTGAGGGCATGTCTGTTGGGRGGGGRGGGCGGGGGTGAGGTGTTGGTGAAGGCGGGTCTGCTGGGGGGAGAAGCAGTGCTGTCCTCAGTGTGAAGGGTGGGGCCAGGCACACCCGAGTAGTACTGGACCTGCTTGTACTGGGTACGGGGACGGCGGAAGCGACAGAGTTGAGGGGGACGGAGATGAGGGGCGAGGGGCTTGAGAGGGGCAGGGGGATGCAAAGAGGGGAGTGAGTGAAGAAGGGGGCGTTGGCGAAGGCGGGTCAGTTGGGGGAGGGGGGGACGTTAGTGGTCAGTTGGGGGGCGGGGAGGTGTTGGTGAAGGTAGGTCTGTTGGGGGGGAGGCGGCACCTGCCGGGAGTGTGTCTCTGATGTGAGGGGTGGGGGCTGGGCGCACCCGAGTGGGACTGCTACCACTAATTGATTGTGTCCTGGCAGGGGTTTGTAGAAGCAGTCCACGACTGTTTTTCATAGCTAACCAATTCTTCCTGACCAGTTTCCTGTCAGCCGTCGTGTCACACAGCTTTCTATGGGGTTCGACCCAGAGGTCCTTGAATTCCTGCATTATCTGCTGCCTCACGACGTGGTTTGTAACAGAGGATAGTCGTTCATAAGCGTTTTCCCTGCCCTGACTATATTGGTCTGCATGGCTTCCACAATCTCTGCTTTTGCTTGAGGGAAACCAAAAGATAATTCTTTCCTTTCTGCAAAGAATCTCATCCTCTATATCGTCATTAGGATAGCTATGTTTCAACAGGTTATTCTGGAAGGCTGTCCATGTTGGGCGATAGTCCTTATGCTTTCCCAGTTAGATGAGTCTGATATCCCGGTGAAAGGAGTGCTTGTTAACGTCTGCAACAACGCGTCCCACCATCTCCATGCCTGTAATGCCATGGGGCAGGCAAGCAGGCAGTGCTGCAAGTCTGCTCTTCTGCTTTGTGAGGATAGACCACAATACGAGCAAATAGGCAACAATATACCCTTTCTGTTCCAGGTTGGATCTGGCTGTTACCCAGTGTGGTGTAGGGTGGCACCTATGTACAATATGCCATTGGAGGGCACGGTGGGATGTGGGCATGATGTGCACATACATTGTCCACGGAATGTCAGCCAGATCTTTGGCTGTAAGTGGGGAATCGCAGTTCAATTTGTTTTGTATGACCATGGTGGATGGGTGAAGTTTGTGGTTGCTTGTATCCTTCATTTGTACTGCCAGACCAGGACTGGTTTATGACCAGACCATTCCCATTTGTGAGGGTCAAAGAAAAGGCCACAAACTGGGGTGGACATCCCGTATGCAAAGTAGCCAGCATCCTCGCCCCCTATTACTGTAACCTGCTGAGGCGTTCCAGTGGTAGTTGGCAACTTAGGTCCTCATCTCTTTCAGTCTGGCCCACCTTGCGCCCGACAGATCGGGTTCATATGCGTGCATCACCACATGCCTGTTGGTCACCGTAGTGCAGGCGTCTTCCGTGGTGACCCAGAGCCCTCGCACGATTCTTGGGCCTCTCTTAAGAGCCACGACCCATTGCAAAGGGACTGCCTCTTGTAATTCGTCGTGTTTGGAGTGTATGTGCCTTATATTTTTCAACAGCAAACGGAGTTGTTGAGCCGATTTCGACGTCCCCTTCTGTATGTCCCACAGTTCCCGACAGACAATAGCCCTTTGTTCACCCACCTTAGCCAATGTGATTTTGCAGCGATGGGGAAGGGATTGCCATCAGCAGCAAGTACGTGTGGGTTTCCAAATAGGGGGGTGGCACCATACTTCGTGCCATCTGGCCGTGGGGGTCTTCTCTATTGGCTCCATTTCACGCCATAGGTGAAAGATATTTGTCCAAAGGGGGTCATATTTGAGGTTCCACCTAGTCGCATTTGGGGTTGTTCCTTCTGTTTTTGTTGTGGGGGGACACGATATGGACCAGGATGGGTTTGTAAACCATTCCGATGGGTGCTCTATTTTCTCCGGGTGGGTAGAGGGTGCCAAGTTAACAATCTGAATGTAAGCCAGCAGCACCCATGGGATACCTCTAGCCAACAGTATAAATATGATCACTTCAAAGATGACAGCTTTACTCTCATCTCCTGGATCCAGAATCTCTAGGCCCCCAACTCTTTTCGGTTGAGTTACATATTTTCAGCCCAACCTTCTCATGCACTTTGTTTGCCAGGGCCTGTCCAACCAGCGATGTGTAGAGGTCATCTCATTTGGCCACCCTTCTGAGAGTTGTCTCTACAAACACATCTCCGTGGTCTTTTGGTGGCCCTAGTGTTGTAAGCCTGACCTCCAAAATCCGGATTGCCTCCGCTTTTGACTTCCAGTTGACGAGAGGTACTTGAGGGGGTTCTAACCCCGTTGGGCTCATCCGCCACCCCTCCGTTTTTGTTCCCTAGTTTACCTTCATGTCAGCTGCCACTGCAAAGGTTTTGGATTGTATCCGGTAGTGCCCATAGGGATGGCTTTGATCAGGACCTTTGAGGTCGTCAGCAAAAAGTGATGTAACTGGGATCAGGTGCGGTGCGAGCTCCGGAATTTCAATTATTTCTACGCCTGGGTTCGACCTCATCATTGCGGCTAATGCCTCCAGTGCTATTACAACGAGCAACGGTGCAATGGGGTCGCCTTGTCTAACCGACCTTTATAATTTGAATGGTCAGGACTGATGGCCATTCAACATGATGTTGGTCACAGCATACCTATGCATTATGGAGACCCATGCTTATGAATGAACCCCCAAACTTCCTTTTTTCAGAGGCAGCAGTCCATGAACTCCCAGTCCACATGATCATAGGCTTGCTCGAAGTCTATGAACAAGACTGCTGCCTCCCTCTTTCTCTGGAGCGCATATTTGATTGTTTCGTTTACGAGCAACATATTAACTTTAATGTTTCTTTGAGGCATGAACCCCGTGTGGTCCTTGCATATCAGGTGGTCCATGCATGAGAGCAGCCTGTTGGTTAGTGCTTTGGAGACAATCTTGTACGGAACAGGAAACAACCTTATCAGTCTGTAGTTACGAATATTGGACATTCCTTTTTTGTACAAGAGGGTTGTTACCCCCTGGCCTAACAATCCCCCTCTTGTCCAACTGCTTGGACGTATGCAAATAAACCTCCCTTAAAGACTTCCCATCGCTGAACGTAAAACTCTTTAGGGAAAGGAGTCTAGTCCGGGGGTCTTTTCGTCTTCCATTCCTTGTAGTGCTTCCAGCATCTCGTCTGATGTGAGGTGCATCTCCAACTTTTGTTTTTGTTGGGTGGATACCATGGCCGGAAGGTTCCCTGGCATGTCTTGTCTGGATTTTGTCAGCCTGCCAGTCCCCATTGTATGGATTTAGAAGCGTCGAGTTTCTTGTAATAGAGCGCAACGTAATCGAACAATGGTATATGCGTTCGCCGCTGCTGGTTTGGCAGGGTCACAAGGGCATCTTAGTGTTGGCACCATAGTTCGCCTCGCCCATGCCCTTACCTTTTGAAAGAATGTTTTAGCCATTGTTCCTTCCATGTCTCCCCTCTTGATCCTCGCTTGAATCGTTCATGCTTCTGTCTAGTGATCTAGGTATGTCTGTAAGTGGTCTCTAGCAACATATTAAACGTTTCATCATCCAGGGGTCGGTGTTAAGTTTTTTGTCTCATTCCTCCAAGTCCTTCAATAGTTTATTGGGTGTGGCCTTTCGTTTCCTCGCATGGTTGATTGGTAATTGTTTCACCCGATCCCTTACCTTCACAACTCCATCACACCAGAATGGATTGCGTTGTCTGCCTTTGTGTTTCCCAAAAATCCCAAAAGGTCTTAACCATGTCCTCGTAATGCTTGAAGTTTTCGCACCGAGGCATTGAACTTGTAGAAGCTCGGCCCTCGATCGACCTGTGTGGTGGTGGAGACCCCTAACATGATCCTTTGGTAGTCGAATGCTTTGCACGAACTGAAAGGCATGATATCTGCCACCAAGAGCGTGCCCAGCAGGTACTCTTAGATGTGGAACATGTCA